ATGAAGATCTCCAATAAAAGGAGAATGTGCAGAAGCATTATCAACAATGAGCAAACTCTTGAAAGGTGTGTTATTCTCCAAACAGTGCTTCTCCACCGCACTGGCAGAGCAATTCAGGAGGGCATTTTGGAAGAGGGACGGGGTCATCCCCTATTTCTTACTGTTCCTGTGGTGCACTGGCAGTGTGTGCTTACTCACAGGCTTGCAGGTGCCGGGGTTCTCAGCGAGCCCAATCACTAAGAGTTTCAATCTGTAGCCTGCAGCATTGCCCCAAAACAAGACTGTTGCCCTGTCCTTAAAAGCCTTGAAACCTGGCATGGAACTGGCCTTCTTACGGATGAAAGTCCTTTCAGGCATGCGTTTCCAGAATAGGGAGGTTTTATTGTATTGAAAATTCGCTTTGGCAAGTAATTTTTCTCTGTTACCAAAGATTCTTCAGCAGCCTTCACATCAGCACTCACAGACTCATCACTCACTTTCACATTATATGATGAATAATGACCCTGGAATTGTTTAAGCTGCTTGGAGCTAGCAGTAAGTTCAACTTAGTTCAACACAATTGGATCTGGCCTTTTCTTTCCACATTTCAGACTTTTTGCTTTGGCTGCGATCACCATGGTGCTGAGAGGCACACACTCCCATGTCTGGTCTTTAATCCAGGCCATTAGAAGTTCCTCCATCTCCAACACAGGTCCTTCTCAAATTTCTGTATGTCTCTTGCCTTCAATGAAGCAGATCCTTTCAGCTTTGTCCTTGTTCAAGCTCTTAGCTATGGTGGAGCAGGACCTGCCTGCCCAGTGGGTGTGCAATAACCACCACTGGTTTTCCACCTTTGTAGTCCTCGGTGATTTTTAATTTAGTTTGCACCTCGATCATTTGAAGTGGCCTCTCGCTGGCAACGTGGGCTGTGGATTTTGCATGCTTAGGGGCCATGATGAACAAAACAACACAAGACTGAATCAAGCACGAGGGAAATGATGCAATCAGGACATGGGTAAACATGAGATGTATGAGGCTGCTGCTGGTATTACACGGGATACTGCTTTACAGTAAACTAACTCCTGGCCTCCAGCAATCCTCCCTCCTGGGCCTCCCAAAGTGCTGGGATTACAGGTGTGAGCCACCACACCTGGCCAAGCCCCATTATCATCTTATGGGACCACTGTCAGAAATGTCATCCATCTTTAACCAAAACATGTGGCACGAGACTATGTATGTAATAGTGTAGATGGTATGGGTTCTGCTAAACAGTTCTGCTAACTCCAGTGCCAACTAAGATTCTCACAGTGGACAGGGGCTTAAGGGCCATGTCTCCTATATTCCTTCGAATGCAAAATCTCCCGGAAGGCTCTCCCTCTACACAGTCGCCTATGGAGGAATCTCATGTTACCTTGGGAAGTCCATTCAGAGTTGGCTTGGTGACCCATGACCCTGTGGATAAGGCCAGTCAATCAGATTCCTCTCCTGGAAAAATTAAAACACCAAATGGATCAATAGTAGGAAGTGAAGCTAAAATGGTTGTTTCCACAGTTGTAGGATATAAAGAGCCTAGAGCCACAAACATGAAGAAAACTTTAGAATTTAACAGAGGAAGCTTGTGGGCAGGGATAGAATAGAAGAGGGGAGAGAGAGAGAGAGAGAGAGAGAGAGAGAGAGAGAGAGAGAGAGTGTGTGCAAGAGGGGGGAGGAGAGAGAGAGACATAGACAGAGATGTCTCTCTCTTCTAGCTTCCGTTTTTGGCTCTGGTCTGCACATCCCTAAATTAAACAGCTTTTTTCTAAGGAAATTTGAAAGAGTTCCTCACGATCCCAAGAGCTCTAAGTAAAACACTGTTCAAAACACAAAATGCCACGTGCCCAGCACCTCTGAACTTGTCTCTGACAAGCAAGGCAGCAGCCCTTTCATTTTCTGCACAATCACCGAAATGGGATCAGAACCCATTAGGATCTTTCCACTCTGCTGTGCCAAGAAAGGGGGTAGAAAAAGGATGAAATCAATTTCCTTAGCCATCATTACTAAGAGCTTTGCTGGTGCTCTGAAAACGTGGGAGGTGGCGGTGAGCACTAAATCAATGTCAGCCCTCCCAGGGGACCCACAGTGCAGACACTCCCAGTAATGACTACTACCCATTGTTCTCTGGCAGGGCATGTTGGCAGACACACTTCGGGTGACAAAGAGGAACGTGTGCACACACCTCTGACACATAGTCCCAGATCTGGGCTCTGGGAACAATCCTTGAAGCAGTCTGGGGTGGCAAGAGTGCTGTTTGCATGAAATGTTATAAGTCCAGAAAAAAAAAAGGGAGAGGGAGAGAGGTAGCCCATGATACCTGGGAAAAAACACGTTGTGACAGAAAGGAAGTGGAGCTTGGAGAAAAAGCCTTACCTGGGTTAACCCATAAGAAACTGGAAAAAGATGTATATCAGATATACAACCTTTTATATAGATGAGGGGATGACTTATACATGTTTCACCAGTACCACTTACTAAGGAGTTTCCACGTCACTATGGCGTCATCCAGGGGAACTGCCAAGAACCTAGAGCTGAAGCCGAACGGCTCTTGGTCCTTGGCTGCAAAGTGCAACAGCTAGATGACCTGGGGCTACTCAGCTTGCCTAATCTGATCCTCTTTCCATAGAACCTACTAGGATAGAGTGGCATAGTGTCATATTAGCATAGCATTTTCTATTTTTAAAAGTTCTTTCCCATACATTATTTTATTTGATCCATGAACAACACTTCTTTTATCAATTCATTCAGGAACTCTTTATTGAGCATCTAATATGTAACTAGCAGCAAGACAGGTGCCGCAGTCAGCAGAACACAATGCATTCCCTACCCACGGCAAGCTTAGAGGCAAATCAAGAGGTAGTCACCGGATACATAATCATGTATATCAACAGGGCACCGCAGTCGGTTGTCCCTAGGAGAACAGCAGGATGATGACTCTTGTATTTCAGACGATGAGGTGGGCTTGGATGATGCTCCAAGCCAACCTCCAGGTGCTAAAAGCCTGAGTCAGGTCCAGATTAGAAGATTCCCCTTGCTCGAAGATGCAGCCACTGGAAAGGACAGTAGCTGATGTTCTTAGAGCTCTCTGCTCCCCTCCTTCCACACATAGAAGCATCTGGGTAAGGCCAGGTACAGTCAACACAATGACCCAGAGTTTCAGAAAGAGCAAACCCCATGAGATTCTTCCAGGCAGGCCAAACAATAACAAAAACCAACAGGGTCAGGCAAGAGGTCTCAGAGCTGGTCATGAAACATCCAAAACTTCTCTCTCTACCTCCTGGAAGGCAGGAAACTTAGCCAGTCTGCAGGCCCCCCAAAAATGGCAGATCAATATGCTTTTTGCTTTATTGTTTTATTCTGGCTTTTTCCCCCTCCTGACGTGTTTTGCACGTCTCTATTCCTCTTTTTCTTCCCTTTCCAGTAGTTAATTTTCTCATCCTCTCTTCTCCCCCCTTTAAAAATCGGTTTCTCTTCTACTTCTCTGAATATCTCTCTTTTTCTCTCCCAAGTCCCTGAAATCTTCCCCCAAGTCCCCTCCCCCAGCCTCTAGGGTAGGCCACCTTCCTCCAGGAGGCAGAGACCTGGCGGTCTGCGCAGCTCACTGCACACTGACTGTATGCTAAGTACAGTTCTAAAGGTTCTACGGGCATGAATTCACTTAATCATCACAACAACCTTAGCAGACAGACACTTACTAGGCCCTTTCTAACAGATCAGGAAACTGAGGCACAGAGCTACCGAAGGGATTCAGTAATCAGCCCAAGATCACACATCTGTTGAGTGTGACCCAGAAACCTGATCCTGCCGGCCCTGGTCTGAATCCCTCCACTACAATGTCCCCGGGAGAATGCATGGCGAGGGAGCCTCCAGGCCCTTCACTGCAAGAGGCTGAGCTCTCCACTGCAGCAATGGGAGCTGGAAGGGCGCACTGACCCTGTAGGCCAGGCTGTGCCTCTTTCCTCTTAACACAGAAAAGTTGCGAAAGAGGCAAGTTCCAGTAAGAGAGTAAGAGCAACCAGACTGACAGGACTTGCGTACAACATTCAGCATCCAAGACCTGCACTCTGCCGTGCAGCAAAGTCAAGGCTCCACCGCCTCCGCTTTCCCTCTACAAGAGGGAGGGCTAAATAACTGCAAACCTCCAGCCCCAGCCCCAGGCCGCCTTGGGGCCGGCCCCGGCTCGGACCGCGCTGCAGCCTCTGCATCTAGGAAGAAAACACAGCGGAGGGCACGCGAGCCAGGGCAAGGGCTGGGCCAGGGCCGGGGGCGGCCGCGATGCCCAGCTCTGTGGCTGCGAACCGCGAAACCGGCCTCACGAGTCCCCCAGCCCTGCCACTCTCTTCCCTTCCCACTCCCTAAATCCCACCTCGAGTCCCGCGCCCTTAGAGCAAGTCGAGGACTCTGCCCGGTCGCCAGCAGGGGGATCGGCCCTTTCTCGACACCGCGCCCCCGACTAGGGCTCTTTTGGGCACCGCCACGTCCTCTCGGTGTGTAACTGTCTTCTTCTTCCTGTGGCTGACCCCAGGAGCCCTCGGGCCGCCCGGGCGCTGTTCCTTAACCTCGCCAGCTTGCAAGCGGAGGTCCAGGCGCGGGCAGGCACGGAGCTGTCTCCGCAGAGTCGCTCTCGGGGCGGCGATTCGATCCCCGCGCGGCCACTGCCGCCGCCGGCGTCACCCTGGCCCGGCCCCAGCCGAGCCCGCTGCCGTCCACGTGGCTCGGCGGAGCTACATGGGGCTGGCAGGAAGCCCCAAGCTAGGGGAAAGCCGAGCCCCGGCGGGGGAAGGGGCGGGCAGCGCGGGCCCGGGGGGCGGGCGCTGGGCGGAGGAAGGGGAGGGCCGCGCCGTGGAGGCGTCTGCCGGCTCCAGCGCGCCCCGGCTCCGGGCTCTGGCTTGCCAGGGAAGGTGGCCCCTCCCCGGTCGCCCCGCCTCCCGTTCCCGTTACACCCGGGGGAAGGTGTTCCCGAGACCGCTCCCATCCTCACCCCGCCTCCCGCTTCCCCGGCTCCAACCTCCGCCGGCGGAGCCCACTATGCCAGACAGTTTCGACACTTTGCAAAGACAAAGAGCCCTAGACCGGAGGGAGGAGGAAGAGGAGGAAGAAGAGGAGAGAGAGAAGGAAGAGGCGATGTGAGCTAGGAAGGGGGCGAGGGTGAGAAGCACCCCCTCTGGATTCTCCTCCGACCCCTCTCATGCCCAAATCCCGGAAACTCCAGCGTGTCTCCAGCCGCGGTGAGTGCGAGCGCGGAGCTGAACCCTGCTGGGGTGCGCGGGGGGCTGCGTCCGCCGGAGTTGGGGCCGGGCAGTTTCGTGTGTGTTCTCTGAGTGGAGGGGTTACTGTCCGGACCCGGGAGCAGAGGGATGGGGAGGGAACTAGGAGAGTGTGACAGTGGAGGTGAGACTGAGGACCCCAGGCGCCTGAGGGTAGACACACGTAGGGAGACCCCTTCCCAAGCCCAGCCACCACCGGTTCTGTGGGAGTGGAATAAGTCGGGGAGGAGGTTCGGGCTGGGGTCTTCAGCCGTTAACTGGGGGAACTGCCTGGGGCTCAGCGGGGAGCCTACGCCGCGTCTGGGCAGTGGTTACCAGAGCGGCCCCAGTGACATTGCACCCAGCACCGGGCTGGGGGTCCCCGGTAGTGGGAGGAGACCCCACTGGGCGGCACGGCTTAGGCGCTCTCGAGCGGAGTCGGGGTCACGGGCTGGAACACTGCGGAGGCCGCCGAGGATCCCGACCAGTGGTCGTGGGACGGTATCCGGATCTAGTCTCCCAATCCGCTGCGAGCAGGCGCCGACCCGGGTGGTGGCTATCGGCCCCGGGGACGCCTCCAGCCGGCGCTGCTCTGGATCCGCGGCGAAGTTGGCGCCTGGGTTGGGGCGGCAGCATGCGGCGTGGTGGGCAGTGGGGAGTTCGGGTGGGCATAGGGGAGCACCGAGGGGAGTGGTGTGAGTGCTGCAACTCGAAACTCCCGAGTCCGCCCCAGTCCCGTTAGGCGCCACGGCTGCGGAGAAATAATCTGACAAAAGTTAGCAGCTTGTCTGCGTCTCTGGTGTGTGTGACCTGCACGGGACAGGGCCGCCCCTTGTGGGAGTGCGCGGGGGCGGGCAGCTGTTACACTGGGGCAAGGTGCCCTGGGTGGTGGTACAGCTAGTTTGGAGTCGGGATGGTGGCGCAACTTTCAGCTGCCCCTTTCTCTGAGCGTGACCTTGCGGGACGAAGCGCGACTGAACTTGAGATGGGGTTGAGGCTGCGCCGTAGCTTGGCGCTGAGACGCCCAAGCGCTCCCTCGCCTTGCCTTCAGCCGAGTCCCTGTCCGGACTGTTTGGGTTCCGGCCATATGCGGGAGCCCTGAGTCTCCCCTCCGGCTCTGCCTGGAGCGGGACTTTGTGGTGCGCTCGGCTAGGGGACACGTGCGCACCTAGAAGCGCGCAAGGGGTGGGGGCTGGGCAGGTCACTGCGTCTCCTGGACCTGGCGAGCCTCGCTGAGGGAGACAGCCGTGACCCTGGGGTCAGGGACTAAGTCCCCGGCCGCATCTGGCGTTCGCCTGGCTTTCACAGGTTTGTTTGTTGGGAACACTGGCCTCACCCCGACTTGACTTATCCCTGTCGCGGGTTCCCAGGCCCGGCGAATTTGTGAATTCCCAGGCCCAGCGAACTATATGGTTCCCTAGGGAGACAGCGAGCGCCCACCCCCGCTCTGCAGCGGGGCGTGTGTGGTGAGGGGGAGAGATGGACAGGGGAAACGGGATGAGCGGGGAACGACGCATCCAGTCGTCGCCACTGCTCCTGGCACGTAGTAGGTTCCAATGCCGTGTTCTTTGCCCAGGCGTCTAAGATGGAAGGTGTTGATAGGGGCTAGGACGTCTCCTTTTCCCCTTCCCTTTTCTACTGCTGAATTCAAATTTATCTACTCAGTCAAGCCGTTTCGGCTTCTGGACGTGCTTTGAGCACCTACTACGTGTAGCTTTCCTGTCGTGTTCCTGGAAGCTGCGGGCGCAGCCCCCCTGATTTTCTTTCCCGGGTGCTGCCCAAGAGCGCCCCGAGGCTCGAAAAGGCAAGGCGCACTGCCCCCTGCTGGCTTCTGTGGAAACTGCCGCGTGGCTGCGCAGCGGGGAAGGGGCGCCTTGTGCCTCCTGTCACGCCTCCTGGCACCTCCCCTTCCTGCCCCAAACACCGTGGCCCAGGTCGTTTTCTGAAATCCCGTTGGTGGCTTAAACGACTGAATAGAGTTCACCATTTCATGCCCCCTGCTTCCAGCCAGATCTGGGTGTGGAGTGGGATCTCTTCCAGTCTCCCATCTTCTGTCTTGGTCTCTCCGACTTCGGCCCTGAGACTTAACCTATCGGTTTCTCAGTTTCCATGTCTGCTAAATGAGGCCATTACTACTATCTCCAAAATACGTTCTGCAGAATAGAAAATTGTGTGACTATATATATATGTGAATATGTGTGTTGCATATATACGTATGTTCTCACTATACATGTGGATGTATGTCTGTACCCATATACCTTGACTTCAGGTCTGAGGGGAAGGAATTCCATCATACAGTTTTCGCTGAGTAAATAGATGAAAAAATGAATAGAGATCTCCTTCCCCTGCCTTTTGGAAATCCCACAAGCCCTGAAGTTTGCTGTCCCTGCATTTTGCTGGGTCTGCATTTGCTGTACAGGTGGTGCGATTGGGGGAGGCTGGGATGAGTGGTTGAGCAGGGTCTTCCCCGACCTCCCTGGCTGGCAGGCTGCAGAACCTCACCAGGGTGAGAAAGAAAAACAGGAAGTGTTGAGGGAAGTGATAGCAGAGGGTTTCTTTAGAGAATGTAGATTCTGCACTTCCTAGCTCTGCAGCAGCAGGCAGAAGCTAACTTCTAAGCAGCATTCTTGCAAACTGCAGACAGGGCTGTGTTCTGGTGTGGAGGCTCAGGCTGGCCACTGCCCCGGCTGAGCTCACCAGTATTCCTCCTGATGTCTGGGGACCTCCACAGAATTGGCTGTCACTGATACGGGAGTGGGGGCCTTGGCCCCCATGCTCTGGGGGAATGGAGTCATCTGTGGGCTTGGATCCGGGGCCTGGATCACTCCTTCTCCTCCTCACCAAGCCACCCCCCAAGCCAGGATACCACCCTAACAGCAAGCAGTTGGCAGTCCACCAGGATGGGACCTCTTGGATATGTGACTCTTTGAACATCCTGGTTAGTTAACCTTGCTTGGCTTGAGTCAGTTCCTGTCTAAAGGGTTGCTGACTCAAAGGATTTGTATTTGGACAGGACTTTGCCGCATGAGATCTAAACCTTAACCCTTACCCCAGGTCCCCTCCCACACCACAAAAAGCAACCAGGAAAGCAAAAAATAAAAGCCCCCAGTCATCTTGTAAAGGCTTCCCAGTGAGTCTTGTATGCATGTGTGCACACTCCACAGGCTGGTGGAAGAGCTGGCTTGGTCACAAAGAATTCTAGAATAAGGCTTACATGCGGCTTTGTTCAGTGGTGTAGCCCGTGTGCAGACTTCACCACGTCCCCGTGCAGACTGAGGGTCTGAGAGCCCTTTTATGCTGTACTTTGCTCGCGGGAGCCCAGACCGAGGCCCCCAGAGAGCCTGCATTCGAGTCCCAGTGGCTGTGCTAAATTAATTTGCAGCTTGGCACCCTGCTATTCCAGGCTCTGGGTCTCAGTTTCACTCTGCAAAATGAGAGGCTTTGGAGTTCTGACAGTCACCTTGGGTCCATTAAAGCTTTTCTTTGTGAAGACAACCCCTGCCTCATTTATGTTTGCTCCAGTCAGCACCACCCTCAAAACCCTCCTGGCATTACAGACAGCCCTGACAAGGGGAGGTGGGACTGTCCACTAACCCCTGCCAAGGGCATCTTCCCTCTCTCGCACAGAGCGGGTCAGGGCCATTTGGAGCCCCCACTCGCTTGGCAGAGTCATTTTCCAGCAGCTGTAGATTTTGAAAGATGGCCCGGGAGTTTCAGATTCTGAGGTCTGAAACCTGACAGAGCCAAGGTGACATGTATGGGGACTCCCAAATGATGCATATTGCAGAGAGGGACCGTGGTGACCTTGCCAGGGCCTGTTTTGTTCCCATCTACAAGCTGAAAGTGACCTTAGAAATAACTTTGTTCAGCCCTTTCACTTCAATGCAAACATACCAAGGCTAAGAGGGGAAGTCACCAGACTGTAAAGTCCAGGTTCTACTGGTTATTTGGTTTTTGTTGGTGGTGGTGGTTGGATGTTTTGATTTTCAGTTGAGCCTGAAATGACGTTCCAGGGCACCATGCAAGGTGCTGAGATGCAGAGAGGGAAGAACTCATGGTCCGTGTCTCTTGCCGTCCCAGAGATTGCAGTGTCCTGGGGAGGGGCATGGGACATACAGTGCGGGGCATATAGAAATTTGCATGTGTTGAAAGAGGATGGGCAACTTTCCTTCCACCGTGAGGGGCCCACAGAAGGAGTCACTGACAAAGCCTTAGGTTTCTGGGATGTTCTAGAGATGAGTTAGGCTGCAGGAGAGCAAAGTTATCTTCTTGAATGCATCTGATATCAAAGTCTTGCACACCCTTGATGGGGAAGAAAAGTGAAGTAAAATAAGATAACAGATTGGCCACAAGCCTTTTCTGCATGTTCTGAAGAGGTGAGGGGACAGGGCATTTTAGAGGCTTAATGCTTTGGCCGCTTTCCATCCCCAGGTCCTGATCTCTGGTTTGTTTGCCTGGGACGATTGTCGCCTCCCAGCCATCCTACAGGTCCTTACGCTAGGTGAGCCTCCAAGCATTACAGTGGTTGTGTATAGAACAGTGGCTGCTTTGCATTTGCTTTAAGAAATAAAACCTAATGCTTTCTTTTTAGTGCTTATCCTGATACTTTATCTCAGATTTAAATAGCTGATTTGGGAGGGTGGAGTTAAATGGCATGGCAGGCAGGGGGTGGGAGAAAGTGCCCAGGTTTCCAGGGAGGTGCTACTGCCGGCTAGCTGTGTGAGCTCTGGGGTGCATGTGGGTGATCACCCCTGGAAGGCAGGGGCCTTGGGAGGGTTAAAGGAGCGGAGGATGCTTGGGAGAGTTGTGCACATAGGAGGCCCAGAGCTCCGGATTCCAGCTGCGTAAGTCTGTTTATAAGAGAAAGTGACTGATTGCTTGGAGCACTCCAAGAACAGAGCCTGTGCGGAATGAAGAAGTTGACTGAGGTTAGAAAGTTTTGGAAGCTCGTGGAAACACGAGGAGGCTGATTTTAATATAAA